TTTCTAAAATTTTCAGAGAATATTTCCAACACATAGGGCTTCAACCTGTTCAATTTTCAAGTCAATTACAGTTACGGATCTTCTATTATCGAAGTTACGATCTACACATTGCCTGATCGTGCTTTAATTTTAGGAGGAGTCTACGGACTCATGGAGCTTCAATCTGAACGGTGGAGTTCGAATTCCAAGGGTTCAATCTTGATTTATGAGCTTTGGATCAGCCTGCATATTTTTTTGTAAAGAAAGGCAGAATCTTTGTTTGAAGGTATACTCGAATATACGTCATTGAAGAAGATCTTAGAGAAGGTGTAACAAGCCGTGGAGATTGATGCAAACAGAGTTTGTCCTCAAGTCATTCGTAAGTAGACAGATCAATACATTAGAGGGTTCTATTGTTATTGATTGTGTAATTCGTACGATGATTTAGTGGAAGGATTGTTACACGGACGTGGACCTCGCAGACGTAGGAGAGTTGCTCCGAATTGCGTAAATAATTCTTGTGTACTGTTTACTACTTTTAATTTATATTCTGTGTGTGTGCTTGTGACAGAGAAAATGTTATAGCACTACTCAGTCTGTCATCTGTTACTGTGACAGTGCTATAGTATCTTCTCTACAACATAGTTGTTTTATCTGTTTGCGTAACTTTCAATTGGTGATTTTGCGTTGCAACCCCACAAACTTATGATTGGTATCAAAGCAGGCAAGCTTAATTTGCTAGCTTGATTGATCTATCACCATGGGAGATATTCAAGAAGGTTCTAATATTTTTAGACCTCCATTATTATGCTGCCATGATTATACTTTTTGGAAGTGTGAAATGAGAGCCTTTCTGAAGTCTCTTGGTGGGCATGTTTGGAGAAGCATAAAGGTTGGATGGTCAGCTCCTACTATGTCCAATGGAGATAGAGAACTAATTCAGAAACCTTATGAAAAATTTAGCAAGAAAGAAAAAGATGCTACAGAATCGAATGTTCCGGCTTTGAATGCAATCTTTGGAGTGGTTGACAAAAACTAGTTCCGTCTTATCTCAAACTGCATAGAGGCCAAGAGAGCTTGGGATATTTTGCTTATTACTCATGAAGGCACTATAACGGTCAAGACTGCCAAACTTTAGATCGTGATGTCCAAAATTGAAATTCTTAAGATGGAGGGTGCTAAGTCTATCACAAAATTTCATGGGCGAGTTAGAGAGTTGGAAAATGAGGCTAAAAGGCTTGGCGAACCAATTACAGAAAATAGACTTGTATTGAAAGTTCTACGTTCTCTTCTAGAAAAATACTCTATGGACGTCTAAGCTATGCAACAAACACAATCTCTCAATACTATGTCACTTGATGAACTAATGGGGAACTTAAAAACCATTGAGTTGGAGATGCATGAAGATCTACGATGCAAGAAGCAGCATGTCATTTCTGTTGAAAAAGAGAAGCATTGTGTTAAAGATGGTGCTGGAACATGCTGTGTTTTTCCAACTTTCTACAGTTATGACGGTGACTGTGATGGTGACGTTGATCCAAAAGAGATGCTTATAATTGTTGAAAAAAATTTCAAGTCTCTACGGGTCAACAAGAAAAAATGTTTGGAAAATGATAGTCTCAAACGTGAACTTGCTAAATCAAAACACAATGTGGAACAACTCACTAAAGAGTTACAGAGATGCAAAGGTAAAATTATAGCAGAGGATGGCACAGAGGATGATATAGAAGATGACACAGAGGTTGACACAACAAAAGAGCTAGCTATTCTTTAAAGGAAGTGAGAAGAACTTCTTCAAGCCAACAAGAAAACTGTCTTGGAGAACCATCATCTTGTTGCTGAGCGAAATAGAGTCAAGGAGGATATTTCAGAATTAGTAAAAAGGTTGAAGACTTAGAAAGGCAACAATCTGATTTGAAGTATGAACTAAATCAACTCAAAAATTATCACAAATGGATGGGAAGTGCTTGAGCAAAAGCTATTGAGGGACAAGTGAATATTTCAAAATTCTATGGGGGCAAAACGGGTCACAAATATTCAGGTCCGAAAGCAACAAGACCCTACTTGACTTATTTGTTGATCAAAGAAAGGAAGTTGCTCAAAAGGCCCCACTAAGAAGGAAATTAGAATCTGTCAAATTCGCTGGAACATCTTCTGCCAGACCCGCTGAAGTTTCTCATGAAGCTTTTGCTGGAAAATCTTATGCATCACCCTATGTAAAAAGGCAAAGAGTGTGACACAATCTAGTATGAGAAAACAAAAGGATCATTATCCTAAACTTGAAAGGTATTCTTATACTAATGTAAATGCTAATTATGTTTGTATTTGTTGTGGAAAAAGGGGACACATTCCGAGGAAATGCAAGATTTTTAAAGAGCAAAGATACTGAAAAAAGAATGTGATAACAAGGATGAATTGGGTACCTAAGAATCAGAACAAAACAGGTGATAATCCTTGTGTGAAAGATGTTGCTCCTAATCAATGCCATATTGGTATTGCAAGTTTGCATCAAGTAGAAAAGAAAATAGATCATTGTGGTGTTAAGAGTGCTGAATCATCTCATAAGTGTGATGAAGTGACACCTCTCAGTCATGAGAGTGTGAAGTTTATGGCTATGAAGAATCGAGCATTGGACATGTGTAAAAGAGCATTTGATGGGAATCGATTTGGTAAACTCAGATTCCGCTTAGGTCTGTGCACACTTATCTCTACCTGATATAGAGGATGCTCTAAGAGGTGTTCATCTCCAACCTGGAATACCCTAGAGCATAAATGTTTTTGCTGGTTGTATACATGTCTTTTTATTTTTGCAGATTATTACTTTTTCAGATGGATCGTCCGAGGGGGATTCACTCAAGTATGACACAGGTTGATGTGACAAAGTCTAGGTCTATTTTGATATTCATTGTTGTAATGTTCAAGCTCGATTGAATGTTACTCTTCACTTTTTGCCCCAATTTTCTTAATAAAACCTTTGGCTTTTTTTATGCAAAATTGAGGAAAGAGGTTCAAAACACATGAGATTCGTTTTTCTCAAAAAATTGCCAAATAGGGATATTGTTAGTTCCATATTGTGTTGACATTATTTTTTGAAAAAAGAATAGATTTACTAGAATTATTTTAGCTGTTTTATTAAGACTTGGAGTCCTAGCATGTGCAAAAAGAGAAAGAGGAAAGAGCTTGAAAAGAGAATTCTAATCCTACTTGGTTTACTATTTTTGAAAAGGAAACCATGGTTGAGACTCTTAAGTACACTCTAACCGGGTTATTCTATTCCATATATTATCTTTGCCTTCAATCACGGTTTTGGTGTGCGAAAATACGAAAGAACATAAGCAGATCCGATGAAAAGAAAAGAAAGAAGGTGCAGGTTTTGACAGTTCAAATTTTCTTGACAACCTGTACGAATTTGATTATCCACAGAGACCTGACCGTTGGATTTTTCTAAAATTTTCAGAGAATGTTTCCAACACATAAGGCTTCAACCTGTTCAATTTTCAAGTCAATTAGAGTTACGAATCTTCTGTTATCAAAGTTTCAATCTACATATTGCCGTTGGTTTATTGCAGAAAACGTAGCTCTAGTTTCGTCGATGATTGGCGTACCAAATCTTGTCTGATCGTGCTTTAATTTTAGGAGGAGTCTAAGGACTCGTGGAGCTTCAATCTGAACGGTGGAGTTCGAATTCCAAGGGTTCAATCTTGATTTATGAGCTTCGGATCAGCCTGCATATCTTTTTGTAAAAAAAGGCAGAATCTTTGTTTGAAGGTGTACTAGAATCTACGTCATTGAAGAAAATCTAGGAGAAGGTGTAACAAGCCGTGGAGATAGACGCAAATAGAGTTTGTCCTCAAGTCATTCGTAAGTAGACAGATCAATACATTAGAAGGTTCTATTGTTATTGATTGTGTAATTCGTACGATGATTTAGTGGAAGGATTGTTACACGGACGTGGACCTCGCAGACGTAAGAGAGTTGCTCCGAATTGCGTAAATAATTCTTGTGTACTGTTTACTGCTTTTAATTTATATTCTGCGTGTGTGCTTGTGACAGAGAAAATGTTATAGCACTACTCTGTCTGTCATCTGTTACTATGACAGTGCTATAGTATCTTCTCTACAGCATAGTTGTTTGATCTGTTTGCGTAACTTTCAATTAGTGATTTCCGCTGCAACCCCACAAACTTACTACCTTTTTTCTTTTTTGAAAATTTTTATGGGACGGAGGAAGTATATAATAGTTAAAAAGTTGGTGCATACGAATCTTGAGGCTCCCCGGGCACAGAACTTCTTTCTCGTAGCTCTCTAGTCATGGAAATGAAAAATGTCATGTTAATTATCCTCACAAAATCACACATATTTCATTACTTAAAAAACTAAGGCTCTATTTGGTACACTGAATTCAAATTATGGAATTGGAGACAACAATTCTAATTTTGTTGTTTGGTAGCACAAGAATATCTTGATTTGGAATTGGTGGTACTAAAAATGTATTGAAATTAGAGAACTCAATTCTATCCAAATCAATTTCATAGAATTTCAACTCTCTATTCAATTATAATTCCATCAATTTTGTGTACCAAACGGATCCTAAAATTCATATACAATGCAAAAACTAAAGGCAAGTTAATTTGGTAAACCCGGGAAATAAGAGTTCTGATATTGAAAGATGACATAAAATCTTTATGTGGGTGTTTAGTGAAGTATAAAAAGCGTTTCTATTTGATATTTTCTGATTTTATTTTAGAGTTCAGAATGCATTTCATGAACTTTCTCTCAAGGTCAAGGTCTTGTGCGGAAAATACTTTTTCAAATTAACTATTCTTGTTAATTAGCATTTTAAACAACTTTTTAATTGTACAAATTAATTTTAAAAACACTTAAGTTAAACGTTGTTATTAGCCTGCATTAATTAAGAGATGTTCTATAAACATTTTCTTGTGAATTTCCATGCCTTGGACCCGCCTTGTTATCTGGTATGTTAAATAAACTCCCTCTTGGGGTTCCAATGCGGGTTGGGAAATTTCCAATCCGTATTTCTTTACAAGTTTAATGTACCTGAAATAATTAAAGGAGAAAATGAAAAATAACTAAACTTTGAGATTCGAGCTTAGTAAAAAAAATTACTCAAAATAGGAGTAAAACATACTCCATCCATCCTAGAAAACATGGGAGTTTTGGTTTTGGAGAGGGATTTAAAGGGAGTGTATTTTGGTATTCAATTTCCAAAAATGTCCTTTGATGTGATGGATAAAAGTATGATTTGATGGATAAATTATTAGTAAAAAGGTATGATGTGATAGGTAGGATATGAAAAAGTAAGAGGTAAAAATGACTTTTTAATAGAAATGAGAAGTGTTTTTTGAGACGGATGAAAAAAGAAAGGATAAAAGTTTTCTGTGACGGAGGGAGTAGTTCTTATCTCTCAAATAAGAATGATATATTTTTATTTTCAAAATATAACTTATCGTGACAATATGACATTCTATATTGTCATCACATAATGTTTTTAGTTTTATGTCTTGACATTTTGATATTAAAAATTCTATTTCGAGGATAAAAACATAAAAAAATCCGGTTTTAATTCTTTTTCTATGAGTTATTCTTATTTGAGTCTTTCTACCATGCTTAATTAACTTGTTGAAAATAGAGATTAATGCTTAATTAACTACTCTGTCCTTAAATAAAAATCTTAATGTGACTTCACGCCTCACGGAGTTTAAGAAAACTATTGAAAATAAGAATTGTGCGGATAGATTTTGTTTAGAAGAGGGAAAAAGTTTATTGGCCACATATTCATTTATTTTTATGAAAAGAAAAGCATTGAAAGGTTTATTTTGATATGGATAAAAAAGAAAGAATTTTCTTTTTTAATTCTATTTGGGGACGAAGGGTTTATACACTACTACAAAAATGATCAAATAAATCGCCTTATTTGCATCGGTTAGCGGAATAAACGTTTTAAAAGCTAAAAAAATTCGTCAACCGCTAGCATTTAAATTGGTTATTCCTAATAACCGATGCAAAAGCCCTTCCCAGAAGTGACGCCACTTCTGGAAAGGAACTTTTGAATCAGTTAACAACCGTTACAAATAATAATCTCAGCATTTGAATCGCCAACATTTGCAACGGTTTCCAGCCGATTTAAAAAAGTAAAAATGGCTGATTTAAAAGGTTTTTTTTGTAGTAGTGATATATCAAGAGTGGTGCTAGGGTGACATCAAACATTTGATACCAAATACACACCAAACTTTACACAAACACACAGACACTTAACATCTGTGCACGCAATATTGGTATGATTTTTTTTGAAACAAAAGTGTTAGAATAACACCAATTTGACATCAAAATTGATACGATGAAACACTCATTGACTTTGTTTGGGAACAACGCTTTCGATTGGCGTTAACGTTTTGGATAAATTTTAATCGTGCAAATTAATTCTGAAAACACTAAAAGCTACCGTCAGATAGCCTTTCCAAAACGCTAACGGTAATCTATAACGCTAATGCCAAACGAGACGATTGTCGATAAAACAAACTATTTAATGTGAGACACATTAATAATAATGTAAACCTTACTCTTCGGCGTCAAAATGGGCCACCCCAAAATCTTCGTCCCAAAGGAATATGTATTCGTATGGTGCAACAATGTCCGGGTGCATAAATCTTTTCGCAAACCACCTTCATGTCACAAAACTTGCATTGAGACCCAGTTATTATGATAAATCACGAGATCCACCCCAATACTTTTGAAAATTCATTTTTGCCCTCTTATGTTTTGTGTGGTGTCCGTTTCCGCCCCGTACATCTTTGAATTGAAAATAACGTCTATCGAAATCGTAAATAAAAAAGGAACTTTATTTTAGTAGAATCACGAAAATAATGCATTGGAATCTATTTAGAAGCATGAAAGATATTGTGATTGAGAGTATCTATTAAGAAAATAAAGAACTAGTTTCTTTGTCTTACAATACTTTTTTTCTTTCTTTTTTCATTCGTCTTAAAAAAAAATTCTCATTTCTTTTTTTGAAGAAGCTTTCTCATTTATATTAAAAAGTCACTTTTACCCCTACTAATTTTTAATCTACCTATCACATCACATCAATACACTATTAATCTATCCATCAAATTCTGCTCTTACACATCACATCTAAGGGTACTTTTGCAAATTTAATACCAAAATACACTCTTTTAAATCCTGTAAAAGTCAAACCCGAAAAATTTTGTGTGAGGGAGGAAGTAGAAACTACATTTTGAAATTTTTCTGGAAAGGATATTCATATTTGCACTCCAACAATTACTAATGGCTTACTAATGGCACTCTACCATTTTTCAAAGTTAACTAAAGTGACAATTATTATCCTTTGACCTCACTCATTCCACCAATTTTTTCTTCATATGCTGTTTTTTCTCCTCTTCAATATTTTTTAATTACTTTTCTTTAATCTTTTGATTTCTTTTTATTGTTTTAAAAATACTTCCCCTGAATAAATTTTAGTTTATGGTTTATAGTATTTTGGTCAAAGTTATTGATGATTTACTTAATTTGAATATTGATTTAAAATTAAAAATTAAAAATTTAAATATTTAAAATTGCATAATAAATTAATAAAATAAAAATGTGACATTAATATTTGTAATGTAAAAAAGAAATGCATTGAATATTGCTTGCATGCAGAATGCGACGTCAATGATAAAAATACTCCGTAATTTATAATGAAATAAAAATCATGTCATTGACTTTACCCAACAATATTTAATTGGAAAAATATCAAAATAGAGTAAAACATGAAGCAAATTCTAAAAAGAAGAAGAGTTTTATGTGTTTTATCTCCAAAATACGAGTTACAATGCCAATAGTGTAAATATATAATATCAAAAAAATTGTGAAACACCAATATACAGTGTCATAATATCACAGAATAAACTCCAATTTCGAAGATAAAAATATAGGATTCTAATTTTAAGGATAAGAGTTATGCATGTTACATTCTAATTTGGAGTGATTTCTTATATCTATTTGGAAAGAATTTTTGTGATGTTGTCTAATATTGGACATTACAAAAAAGTTACATCACATTTTATCTATAGATTTTTTTATGTTCTAAATATGTCAATTTTTTTTTTATAAGTGTTATATCGTTATTCAAATTAAGTTAATGGAAAGCAACTTCATTAAACACATGAGAATTTTTCTTAAGAACCAAAATTTATCAAAAACCCAACAACAAATAACTAATAAAAAAAGAATAGAAAAGTTAAAAAGCAAAAAAATGGCAATATAATAAAAAAAAAAGAAAAAGGATGACTATGAGTAAATATTAAACATGGTAAAGTTCTTAATTAATTACCATTTGGTCTGTTGAGAAGCACTCACATGAATGGCCTTCTTTGACCACTCAAACTCATCCCACTCTGACGTCAGGCCATCATAGTGAAATAGAAGGATTGTAAAATTATCTGAAAACTGGAGGATAATATATATATATAATTACATATGGTACTAATGAAAAAATATACTCAAATCTCTACGAAATTTAAGAATTTTTTTTTTAAAAAAAATTGTTGAAAATTATTAAGTTTAAACTAACAAAAAATTAAAATTTCATTTTGGAATAAAGAGTGCAAAATATATCCTACCATCTCCGTCTTTGAGTACTTGTCCAGTTTTGACTTTTTTCGATCAATTGTTTTTAACTTTTGACCTATAATTAAATAAAATATATACTACATATTAATTAGATAAAATAATATTTTGAAAATATTTGACATAATAAATCTAATAAAATTGTTCTTTATCAGTATCTAATATCATTGTTATTTAATTAGATTTAAAATTTATCAATTTTGATAGAAAAAGGTTAAAAGTGAACAAATACTCAATAAGGGAGGAAGTATATAGTTACACTAATGGGTATTGGAGTTATTAAAAAATCTATATGGGAGGTGCCACTTGGTGCACTAAATTATAATTTTGATCCTCCAAACAAAAGCATATTCTTTTACTTTTTTATTTTTGATAACTTAAACCCTTATATAGAATATACAAAAGAAACATTCACGAGATGTTTTTTTTAATCGAGAAACATATAAATCGTACACATATAACCAAATATGATACCCAATATAAAATAAAAATAATGAGACGAACAAAAAAAATAAAAATAGATTTAAAATAATTATGAATTGAGAATTTTTTGCGTCATTTGTCCCTGAATTTTTTAAAAATTACCGGATTTCCCCTGAATTTTTTAAATTACACTAACGCCTCCTACACTTTTAAAAATATTGCACCAATGGTCTTTCCACGCCAGATTTGAGAATACATTAATTGCATGCTCATCTAATGTAAGTATGGATTCATCTAAAGTAATCAATCACACACATGAATTTTGCAATATATTCTTCTCAAACATTATCTTCTACTCCCTCCGTCCACAAATAAACTTTCCGTTCGCTATTCATAGAATCAAACTTTATCCACTTTGTTGGCCTATTTTCATCACTCATTTGATAAAATAATATAGTCATGTCACCTCTAGTTTTGTAGATCTTTTAATATAATTTTTTAATATGTAATTTTTATTTTTAAATTTTACACCATTTTTCATATAAAATAATTTGAAAATAACTTCAGTCAAACATCGTAACGCGTAATGAGAAGTTTATTTATGGACGGAGAGAGTATATTTTTGGGAGAAAGACCAAAGTAAGACTAAAACATTGAAAATATACCAAAATAGAACTTCTATGTTTTTATTCTCGAAATAAGACTTACATTACCATACATGGTAATATACATAACAAAAAAACATAGTAATTTGCACATGTACACTGCCACATTACAACATGGCAAAGTCACATTATCACAGTGCAAAGTCTTATTTCGAGAAAAAAAATATGAAAGTCCTATTTTGGTACTTTTTTCTATGTTTTAATCCTATTTAGGGTGATTTCAATATATTTTTAACATATTTAAACCCTAGACATTTATTCTCGATTTAGTCGGTAACCGAATTCGAAGATCGGACATCAATCAATAAAGCTCATCACTAATCGATCAAACCTCTTCATCAATCCATGATGTATAGATTCATCAAGATCTAACAGGTATATTGATGAGCGTGTGATAAACGTACTCCTAAATCAAATATAAAGGGACCATTAGTGCAAAATTCTTATAAATTCAAGGGACATTAGTGTAATTTTTTAAGTTTAAAGCAGTCCATTCGATTTTTAAAAAGTTCAGAAGTAAATGACGCAAAACCTCAAAAAAAAAACTCAATGAATTAATGACAAGAAAAGGACTACGGAGTATTAATTACTTTTGTCAAAGGATGAAACAAAAATTGCAAGTTAACCCTTGGGTTCTCTAGAAAAGTGAAAAGTGCACCTTTTTAACGGCAGCGTCGACCATATTCTTCTGGTTATAACCAACTGCAAATGCTGCCAGATACTTGGGTTTCTTTTCAATTAGGTCCTGCAAATATGTGTAAATTACCTACCAATTCCACCGCCCATTCATATTTATATTTACTATCATTAATTTTATTTCTTCCTTTCTCAAAAAAATTAAAGAAATTAAAATGTGTGTCAAGCGTTGACTTTAATTTTTAGTAAAATGCAAAACCAAAAGTCACAGTCATTCCATAACCAGTATTAAAAACTGGGATTCCCTAACTGTTTTTTGTTTTAAAATGAGTAAAATACACATATTTAGTACATGTTTAGGAATAGCATTAGAGATTAGCGTTAGTGTTTTGGATAAAATTTTAGCGGTGCTGATTACATTGAAAACGCTAACGCTAAACGCTACCTGTAGTCCGTAGATAGCCTTTGCAAAACGCTTACACTAATCTCTAACGCTATTCTCAAAGAAGCCCTTAGAAATTGGAAGTAAATACAAAAAATGATTTAAATTGATTTGTGATTCATTGATGCCAATAATGGTAACCTGCTCTGAGAATCTCCATAAGATTAACTAATTAAAAGGTGAATTCATAGATGCTATTTTATCAAAGAAATAGTGTTTTCCTTATCCATATTTTAACAACCTCTCCAACAATGCTATGTATGTTTTACCTATTTATCCCTATATATATTTCATTATTCTACAATTAATTTTTAAATGAAAAATTTATTTTCTTTTATACTTTTAGATTACTCACACATTTATGTGTAAAAAATAAAGTATAAGTGGCAACTATTTTTGTTAAAATAGCAAGTGTATGTGTTATAAGTAGCAAATATATTCATTTTATAAAGTAACATGTAAAAAAATGGTCCCGTTTGGCATCAGCGTTAGAGATTAGCGTTAGCGTTTTGAAAAGGTTATCCGATGTAGCCTTTAGCGCTAGTATTTTCAGAATTAATCTATACCACTAAAATTTTATCCAAAACGCTAACGCTAATCGGAGACGACGTTCCCAAAGAAGGCCAATATATACTTGCCTCCATAGGATTTCCCCACAATCGGCGGAGATATAAATCTGAGTTAGAAACAACAATTTGAGGAAGTAATCTCTCTGCTCCTCTTGGGTTTGATGTCACCCATATCTGATACAAAAAATATACACCTTAGTTTAAACTCTCTGGGGATAGTGTTTTATGTTTCTATTTATGGTGATTTTTTTATTTTTCATGTGCAACCCCGCAACTAGAGGTGTTCATCGGTCCAAGACTGGACCGAAGACCGAATTGGTTAAAATCACAGACCGAAGACCGGACCTAAATCTATTCGGGTTTGGACCAGACCGGACCGAAATACTTAGGACCGAACCGGTCCGGACCGATTGGACCGAATAAAAATGTATTTTTTTAATTATTTTGATTATTTAAATAAATTTTAGGTTTTGATTGTTTGTCTTTCAAAAACAATATTTTAGTCTTTTTATTTTGTAGCGTACAAATAGGAAAAAAAATAGACAACCTAAAAATAGATACACAACATAAACTACTTCTATGTAGAATAATAAAAACTAATGCGGAACTTTTTTTAAAAAAAAAATCTTAACAAAAATATTTTAAATTAAATAAATTAAAATATCTATTCAAATAAAGCGTCAAAGTGTATTACGGAACTTAAAAAGTAGAGTTTACGTATTTAGGTGTTTTAGGTCCAATGGGGTTATTAGGTCCATCCGGTCCCATCGGTCCAGACCTAAATCATTTCGGGTTTGGACCGGACCGGACCGAAACCCGAAACCCGAATTCCTAATTTTTTTGGACCGAAGACCGACCCGAAATCCATTCGGTCCGGGTTCGGTCTGGACCAAACGGTCCGGTTCAGTCAGTTTTTTCGGTCCAGACCTAAACATGAACAGCTCTACCCGCAACTGTACACCAAGAAATGATACATATATAAAATGATGATTACCAGATGATATTTATTGATAGAGGAACAATACATTTATACATAAGAGATCAACAGCCTAAGCTAAAAGCATGGAGGGGGAGTTGGCCGATCCTATAGAATAGGAGAGGCGTGTGCTGATAACAATGAGTTAGGATAACTACATAATTAAACAAGTGAGAAATACAAATATTTATTTATTGTTAACACGCCCCAGCAAGATTGGGGTTCCATCAGAAACACCAAGCTTGGTACGAAACCGAAGAAACGCTGGAGCATAAAGAGGCTTGGTGAGAGCATCTGTGGTTTGATGCACAGTGGAGATATAACGAACGAATAATTTGCCTGCCGCAATAAGCTCACGAACAAAGATATAACCTAGGGCCATATGCTTCACATGAGAATGAAATACGGGATTTTTACAAACATAGGTAGCACCCAAATTGTCGTAATATAAGAGAGGAGGACGAGGTAAAGAAATGCCCAGTTCATCCAGTAAGTTACGCACCCAAAGGGTTTCAGCCGTGGCATGAGGAGCGAATCAAAAAATTCTATACAATTATGAAAAGGGGAAATCATATTGAATATAGACCCATGTCTTTCTAGCTAGTGCACGATACTCAGCTTCAGTGGAAGATCGGGAAACAGTTTTCTGACGTGCAGACTTCCAAGAAACAGTATCCGAACCAAGATTAAGAACATAAGTGGTGGTAGAACGACCGCCGTCATGAATACTCCCCCTGAGTTAGAAAACACAGTAAGAGTAAGAGAAGGATCTGCAAGGAGGAATAAGCCATGATTAGTGGTGCCGCGTAGATAACGAAGGAGACGCGTGACATCTTTCCAATGAGTAACTGAAGGTGCATGCATAAACTGAGACAGCTTGTTAACTGCATAAGCAATATCAGGACGAGTAAAACTGAGATATTGAAGAGAGCCAATAGCCTTACAGAACAAAGTTGAATTAGCACTCGCAGTACCATCATGAAGACGAAGAGCCGTACGTGCTCAGACAAAGAGGAGTACGAACTGGTGTAGCTTCGTGTATGTGATGATCACGCAGAATATCAAGTATATATTGGCGTTGAGTAAGCAGAACACCCCTGGAGGCTGGTAAGACCGAAACCCCCAAGAAATGGTTCAAGGACCCCATGTCTTTCAAAGCAAATTGTTTAGCCAACCGTTGAATAAAACGATCAAGAAAAATAGCATTGTTCCCGGTCAGGACGATGTCATCAACATAGACAATAAAGTAGAGAGTATTACCACCTTGAGAGAAGATGAATAGAGAGGGATCCGCAACAGATTTATGAAACCCATAATGAAGAAGGAATGCCGAGAGCTCCATATACCAGGCACGAGGAGCCTGTTTGAGACCATAAAGAGCCTTACGCAATTTGCACACACAATCTGGATGGTCAGAATCACGATAACCAGAGGGCTGCTCCATGTAAACATCTTCATGTAAGGTACCATTAAGGAATGCATTATTAATATCCAACTGACGAAGGGACCACTGTCGAGACAATGCAAGACTGATAATGAGCCGTATAGTAACAGGCTTACCAACAGGGCTAAAAGTCTCAGAATAATCACGGCCAGGTTGCTGAAGAAACCCCTTAGTCACCAAACGAGCTTTATAACGCTCAACAGTCCCATCAGGTTTCCTTTTGATACGAAAAACCCATTTGCAATGAATAGGCCGCTATGACGGACGTGGGACAAGAACCCAAGTCTGATCACGCATAAGAGCACCATATTCGTCATCCATTGCAACAAGCCACATCGGGTCCCTAGAGGCCTGCAAAAATGCTTCGGGTTCCTCCTACAAGGGAATCATTAAAGTAACGGGAATTTGGCCGTCGAGCACGAACTGGTCGGGCAGCAGCAGGAGACGCATTGGGGACAGAAACTGACGAGGAGGTGGATGGGGATGGGGAGAACGAAGAGGAAGACGATGGAAGAGAAGAGGGAAGAACCGGAAGAGAAGTCAGATCAGATGCACGTTTCAACCCGGGGAATAAAGAGGGAGGTACAGCGTCACGAAATGGATATTGACCCGGAACGAAACGAACATGACGAGAAATATAAATCCTCCCAGTAGGATCATAACACTTATAAAAATGAGAAAACATACTTCCTTCGTCGTATAAAACTTTTTAACTTTCACACCTTACTTGTCCCATAAAATATTTCAAGTTGGGCTAAACGGATACAGCTATCATTACCTTTCTTAAATCCAACCGTACTTACCTCAACTACATTCTACGTCCTATCCATTCTCAAGCCCATTTCATTTCAATTATCATCGTTTCACTTGGTCAAACATTTAAAGTTTCATTTCTTCAAAAGTCAAAAAAGGGAAGGAGATAAAAGATGAGGGGAATATTTTTCAAAAAAAAAAAAGAAAAAAGACCGGAGGGAATAAAAGTACGGCGCACCTTTGAAGAATTGGTAAGGTTTTGATTTGGTGCGGTGTTAACAACACCACTGTTCCATACATTTTGCTGCAAAAAATGGAGTCACAAACTAATAATTCTATAATCTCAAAATAAAAGACATAATTATTAATTAGTATTTACACAATTTTTATTAGGAGTCAATTTTTATTGGTAATTTACCAAATATGTATTTTTAGTACTATTGATTCTACGATGCAGTATCGGGGTTAGTTTCTCATCCACAATCCTCGTATTTATTTAAATAATGATACATTATTTAATTTCCCTATATACGGAGTATATAACAAGAGATGATATGATTATGTTTTAACAAATTATTAATGAAAATAATTTTTAAAAAAATGGATAAAAAATAATTTTAAATAGTCAAGTGAGACGATTAACTCAAGACAAATGGAGTACATTAAAACCAGTTTTTTTTGTTACCGAAATACTCCTAAGTCTTATCCCAACAAAAATTTACCCACCTTACCCACTTGGACATTTCAAAGAGAACTTTGAAATTTCATTTCCTTCTAAAGAAATGATCATATTGCATACATACAAAAGTCTTTTGAACGCAGGGTTAACATTTTCTTAAATTTTATATAGTAATTAAAGGTTAAATTGGTCATTTCTTATATAGGATAGAGAGAGCACTAATTAATTCTCGAAAAGCTACTTAAAACAAATACTCTATTCATCCCAAATTATTTAGCTTAGCTAATTACTGTTTCTGTATGCATTTTCATTGATAAAAATGAAATAGACATATCATTACTTGTTTTGTAGATTTTTTCATATTATTTTTAAATATTCATATTATTTTTTTATTTATATGTTTTGTAAATAAAATCATTTTAAACAAATAAAATTTTGCATGTTGTTCGAAAGAAGACAAATAACTTGGACGGAAGGAGTATGGGTAGTAAAGAAAAAGAAAAATGCTTGACGTACACTAAGGCGGTGATTGGAAAAAACTTTTCGGATAGCTTTTAGCATCTTTGACTGACTTTGTCTTGTTTGACTTATCGAAAGCCAAAACCATTGTTTGGCTAATGGCTTTTTGATCTGAAATGTCAAAATCCGAGAAGCAAGGGGAGTAGCTTTTGAACTTGGCTTTTAGAAAAAAAAAAATTAATCATTTTTCTTGAAATATATTTTATAATATATGTAAATAAAATAAAATAAATGTTAAAAAATTCAAAAATTAAAAAACGTAAATTTTAAATTAAAAAAAAAGATATGAGAAAATCAAAAGTAAAAATCATTAAGTTATATATTTATAATTTCTTATGAATTATATGAAAGATGAAATTTTATACTCCATATATTAACGATTTAATTTTTACATGTACAAAAATAAAAAAACAAATATCGTGTGTGTGTGTGTTTGTGTTTGTCTATTTTCAAACAGCTAATTTTACCAAACATTTTTGACGATCAGTCAACTCATTGTGCCGGTCAAACCAGCTAAATTAAACAGGTATTTAGAACAGCTGATACAAACAGAGAACAGCTGACAGACAACATCCAAACAAGGCCTAAATTGTATCCCAAGTCACACCCAACCTCATACTTTGTTGTGTGAATAAACAAAATAAAATGTGGATAAAAATTGTATGGTCAGAAAATGTTGGGGTATAACCTGAACTACGAATATGATGTAAGTTTTGAAAGCATTTAGGAACGTTTGGTATACGGAATTGATGGAATTAGGATTGATTTGGAATTGAAAATCCATGAGATTCAATTCCATAGAATTGAATTCACCAATTTGAACTCATTTTTTGCACTATCAAATTCCAAATCCATACTATTCTCACACAAGTTCTAGAATCTAAAGCAGTTATCATCAGTAGAAAATGGAAATAAGGGGGTGTTTGGGAAGGAGTACCTTATAATGGTGAGACGTGAGGGCTCGATAAGAGACTCCAAGAAAGAAGCCAAACGCCACTCCGGCGATAACTCTGACATAAACCTCCTCTATTATTCCTCCACTTGTTCTCTTCCCACTTCCCCTCCACGAAACCTTCATCTAATTAATTCCACTAAGCAGCAGTAGAAGTAATTAATACAGATAAAATTTGATGTTAATTAATTAATTATACTGTCAATCGGGAGGGAGGATTTCAGTGCTTAAAAAGAGAGTACTAATTGAGAAGATGAGACGACGGGTCGGGTACGGTTCGAGCCGGCAGAGAACGGTAAACGCGCCGGATTTATAGCAATCATATACTATAGCATTACTGTGTCGTGTATTGTTGGTTGTTTTTCAAAAAGAAGAAGCACATACGGAGAATTTCTTCAAGGGTTTGGAATATCGATGAATTGAAACTGTTTCTTTCAGCCCGTCTATTTGTTGCCATGTTCTCCTATAGAAGAATAAACTGAGGGCTAGACCATCCCATTTAGGGGTGTAAACGAACCGAATCGAAGCGAATACCGATATATTTAAATTTGTATTAGTTTAATTTTTTCGAATATGAATCCGAACACGAATATGAGACGAATTCAAAATAAGATTTGAATAAGTATTTGATTAATATTCGAATAGTTATCGAATTATAAACGAATATTTGAATAATCATACTATGTAATTTATATGATGGACCAACATCAATTTGTAATTTAACTTACGATACTCTTTAATGATATGATATAAGGCATATATTTTTGTAATTATGTAGACGTAGAATGTGTTTAATATAAAATATTTTATATTGATAATTTTTAGTATACGAAATCTAAAAGCACAATGCAATTTTTATTGAATTCTTAGTATTTTAAATACACTTTATACTATATTACTTTGCTTGACTTTTGATGTTGAAAACATGGTCTGTGTATCTATACATATATTCGAATATTCAAATATCATCCGAATCGAATATATCCCTATTTGTATTTGTATTTGATTAATATTCGAATCAAAAATAATATTTGAATTTGAATTTGTATTTGAATAACGCGAATTCGAATCATCATATTCGAATACAAATCGCGAATCGAATTTAAAATATTTGATTTGTTTACATCCCTAATCCCATTTATACATCAACCAAATATAGACAAACACAGACACTTATACTATAAGAAAAGAAAATGATTTTATCTCAAATTCCTCAGCAAAATGGGAAGAATTTGGTTTTTCCTTATCTTAGTACATTTTGTCTCTCATTTTCTTTTTCTTCCACTCTTCTTTTCTTTTCCTCTCTAACCAAACAAGAAAAATATTTTCCTTCTCATTTTCTTTTATTTTCCTTCTCAGATTCCTTGAACCAAACACTGCAATAGTATCAGTGTTTTTCTGGTGTACAAATGGAGTACCCCGTTTTGGTATGCCCCTAGCATGCCCCTTTTCTATATGTTGTGATTTCATTGGTCCTACGGTGTTTTTGGAGTACTAACGGTGTTTCTTTTACAAAATAAATAATTTCTATCCTCCTGAAATCTTCTAAACCCCCTAACCACCCTCCCTCCATCTCGTAAACCGCTTAGTCAGGCCACACACAGTAGTTAATCGGCAAAGAATATGGGGAATGAGGGCGGGGTGAGAGAGGACTATGGAAGGTAAGAACCTTTTAGCGAATGGAGTAGTGTATATGCCTAAAATGGAGCTGGTGTCATGCGTTGACAATCACTTTTAGTGTCAATGGAATCACGTTTGATGGTGTAAATTATCTAATCGGGTAAACAGTACTAGACCGGGTCTAGAATTGTTTACTAGATTTGGGAAAGTAAAAGGTAAAAACACACAAATTAACCGAGAGAACTATATGTGGAAACACCTGTAGCCCAATTGATATTTGAATAAAGTGAGTGCACGGGAGCTTTTACACGGGAGTTTTAGTGAGAAGAAATCGTATCCCTTTCTATGAGGGTTACAACAGTATTTATAGTAAGTTAGAGGGGACAAGGCGCCGCACATCCACGTCAGGACATGTTCTAGGGGGGTGTGAGGTGATTGCCTCTGTCTTCTAGTGACCTTGTCATCTAGTTAGGAAGGTGACTCCTTTGTCACTTAGCGCGTTGGATTGATTGTGCGACTATCTCCAATGATCTTCCGTTGAATTTGACCGCTACAGTCCAATTCCCTTCGGATTCTTCCTTGCCGACACTCTCCAACCCCAGAAATCGTACCGGGTGACTTCCGAGGGATGGGTTTATTTGAAATTGGGGATGAATGGGGGAAGAAAGTGTTCGAAAATTAATTTTATGAGCGAATAGCAAATCTTCTTAGTCTTACACTATTTTTCGAAATCACTACACCTTATGAGTAAATTCTTCCCAAAAACACAAAAAAAGTATTTTTGAAATCGCACCTTGCTCGGAAATGATTAACTTCATCGGAGTTTCCATCAAAAATCATCTTCGTAATATGAAATGCGGTTGAAACTGTCACAGCACCTGAGAAGAAAATGTAAGTTAGTTTTTTCTTCGAATTATTGTATATAAAGTTATAAATAGAGAAATGAATCTTATAAGAAACACGCTTTAAGAATATAATCTTACCCCTGTACCGCCTCACTGGACAAAAACTTAGGAGCAAAATGAAAGGTCCCGGAACATCTTGGGTCAAACAATTTAGGAACTTCTCCACATATTCATCCCATAAGGTGCATGCCAAACGGTTGCCTCTGAAATTTTATTTTACTATCTTATTATTTTTTCCAACAGTTAATCTTATGTATTTGCTTTATAAATAAATTTTCATACTCATGATCCTCAAGTGTGATCTCCATTAGTTTCTCTTCTTCACCTCTTTTGATGTGTGTTTGAACTTTCGAACGCCCCACAATTTTTCCAATCACATCTGCATTCTGCACCGATCGGATAAGTTCATCTTTCTTATTATATACTCACTGTTTGTGATACTTTTAAAGCATTTATAATCACTTCGAAAAAATGTATTTACCGATGAGAAGTTGATCGTTTAAGCAGGGCTGTGCTTCAATGCTTGAAAAAGATTTCAAATCGAACTGCATTTTGGGAAAGTCAAGTTCGCTCAAAGTTTTAACTTCTGTTTTTTTGTAAAACACCAACAAAGATTTGTGAGAGGTTGTCTTGCATGACTCGTAATTGTCATAAACAAAAACATTTCGAATCGCAAAGACACCGCCTTCCACAATTTCGTCTTCAAATTTATTCTTTTCGGGTTTTTTGATATGAGCATGAATCTTTGTACCCTGCGAGAAACGATAAGAATTAGAGAAAGAAAAACAATTAGAAACTATGATTGGAAGAACATGAATATTTAAAAATAGAACTCGAAAGAAGAAAGTACATGTTCGTCATGGAAGATTACTTTCATGGAATCATCTCCCTTGGCCCAGGCGGGAACGTAGTAAACGCGTATAACCCGCAACTTGAGTATCCATGCTATGCGAGTATTGTCAATTTTGTCTAGAAAATTCCACATCACCTTTTGGGTCGTTTTGGACATCTTTACACTCTTTACCGTGCAAGATGAAGTGCTATGACCTTGCAAGATGAAATCCTACAAATACCATTGAAATTAGGCACAACTCAAGTAATGCATTAAATAGCATCCAACTTTAAAGATTTCGAAAATCTATTTTTTTTAATTTGGAAAAGACACAAAGTGATTTATTATCTTTGAATTGACATGTTAAAAAAGTTAGTTTAAGTTACCAATGAAAGTAATAATTTATGTGGTGTAAAGCATGCATACTCTTCCCTAGAAAGGTGCTCACATTATTCAAGAAATTCACTACTTATGCAAAGGATTTCTCTGGGCCAGATGCAGCAGCTCAATCACGGAGCCCAATACTGGCCAAGACGTTTAGGCGGGAACACTGTAGCAATTGCCCTCACACCATTGTATAGATAAAGATAGCACAGACTTCGAACTTCCATTGCATAGTGGTAAGATGGGCTAGAGTGATGCAGTGAGCAAAGATGTATGTGATGAAGATGATGGGTGTTGTGGATTGTAAATTTAATTAGACTGTTGGATTATGTTAAAGAGTATCCTGCAACGAAACTTGTAGAGAAAACAAATTGGTATATAAACTATTAAGTTGAACTAAATAATCAATTGAGTTTAATTTTTCAATGTGATTTAGCTCAAATGTCTTATTTCCTAATCTAGTACCCTTTCCCCATCCTAAATTTTATCAGATTATATTTTCTAAATGTTAAGAGAATGAACTGTATTTTATTTAGTAAATGAACACTACGTTATTCGTAAATAAATATTATAATTGTATTGAGCAAATGCGTAAAAATGAACACTACGCTTTTTCATAATGAGTAACACATTAAATCAAAATAAATATTTATATTTTGTGCAAGAATGAATAATGTTTTAATTCAAAATGTTTTGCCCGTCCGACAGGTAGTAAGAGGGTGTTTGAGAGTGATTAACTTATGATAAAGTGATTTCTACAAAAGCTGAAAACAGATACACCTCCTACCTGTTTCTCCGAAACGGTGTTCTATGTACAAAATAGTGGTGGTGAAAAGCAGAAGCTAACATGCCAAATAGAGTAAAATTACTTTTACTCAAAGCAGAAACTAAATGATTAAAAGTAACACACTGCCAAACTGCCTCTAACCAATTGAGATTCAATTTCTTTTTTGCAATAGAAACAAGTGGCAGATATTGAAACGAAACAAGTGAATCACCAAATCCATCCCCACATTTTATCTGCTCGAAGTCCAAACCAGTCTTTCCAAGTCGCAATATGGCGACACCTTCCTTCCTCCTCCTCGTCCTCAAACCGCACACGCACTAGACCTGCGCAAATGGCCGATTACTCCAAGGCCCACATCTGCCAGTGCCTTAGCCGCATCTCCACCGTCTGCCGGAACTCTCCCGTCACGATTTCCGGCGGCAGGAGAAAGACCGGCGCTCAGTTCGTGCAAGGAGTTCTCAACCTGGCGCGCGGGCTTCTTCAGCTGGGCCTGCAGCGCGGTGACGTGGTCGCCATTTCTGCTCTCAACAGGTTCTTCTTATCCAACATCCGCTCTTAATTCCATACTCGTATGAATTATACTCGCTCACTTCCCAAAGGAAATTTCAATTTGCTCTTTCACAGAGTTAAATCCAAATGAAAATTGTATTGCTCTTTAAGAATGCTAATTACTTCGCAGTATATCACATTTGTTATTCTCTATACATTGTAATGCCTTGAATCTGATCCGTTACAGCTCCAGATCCAGAGAAGTCCAACTTCTGAGAAATCTGGATCCGGAGAAGTCTGGCTTCTGAGAAATCCGTTTTCCGGAGAAGTCGAGAAATCCGAATCCTGAGAGATCCGAATCCTACTCTAATTGGGCT